CAGATATAATATATAAATGATAATACATATAAAGAATAAAATAATATATAAAAATAAGAGAAAGAAACAAGCTAACAACATGTCACCCAAATTCTAAATTATTTTGATATTTCAGCTGCCAAAATTCAGTTTCATAGTATTTGGAATTTGAGATTTGGTATAATTTGAGATTTGAGATTTTGACAATTAGTAATTTGGAATTTGGAATTTGAGATTTGGAATTTGAAATTTAGCATTTTGAATTTGGGTGGCACCTATAATATTGACATATTCAAAGTATCTATTGTTAACTATTCTTCTTATAATACCATGAAATATATTGTTTGATAATTGAAATTAGTATTATCAGTAATTTCTAATTTCCTTGAGGACAAACTAGTGAAGTAACTTAACAGTTCTTTTAAAGGGTTTATAGTCCTTTTTCAAAGGTAAGACTGATTTAAAAGGTACTACTGATTCAATTATTTTAGAAAGAAAATCAGACCTTTCTTTCAATTTATTTCAATAACTTCTAAGTTCATTATTATTTTTAGTATTAACCTTTATTCTTAATTGTTCTTCAGTTTTGTTATGATTGAGTACTATTTCAATTCATCAAAGTTAAGTATTATTTCAATTCCAGGATTTTTAATAATAGTTTGTAATTAATTTCATTAATTCAAGAATAATAATATTATGCAATTATACAATCAAGTATTTAATTCTATAATATTCATTATTCTCCTATTAACTATTATATTTTTATATTTAATAATTATTTTTATAACTGTTATTTTATATTTCTAATATTTATTATTTTATTAATTCAATTATAAGATAATTTTTACAAGTTTTTATCTTGAAGTTACAAATTATAAAATTAAATTTATTAATTTCAAATAAATTACAAATTATTAAAATTCAAAATTATAAAATTAACTAAAAGAGACAAAATAGGATTTTGATCCTTTTTATAAGTATTTTATATAATCTATATTACTGTGCTACTACTGTACTTTGTTGTATACTATTTCTATTATTTATCATTTTCCTATATTATTTACTAAATATATTTAATACTAATTGATACTAAATGTTGATAATTATTATTAATAATATATATTAATAATTAATATTATGAGTTAATAACTATGTTTATATAACTAAATATCACATGAACACATGATCTTGTACTACTATCATATGACTAATTAATATGTGTTACTGGATATAAAATGTTATTATTTATTAAATGAATTAATATCTTCTTGTTGAATAAAAATTTTGCAATTAATCTTAATCTTTTTATGCATTGCTTGAATCATCTTTTGTCGGGTTTTCATATTGTATATCTTGCTCATTCAAGTTTACATCAAATATACAGTATAAAATATAGAATCATTCATTTTTAAGTTCCAGAAATACCAGTTTAATGCTATTTGTCTTTATATTACTTTGATCCTGAAGAAAATATTTAGATTTCCAATGGGATACAAATCATCAAATAATTATCAAAAATTCTATAATAGTATCAGAGTCTTCATTACTGATGAAAAAGTAAGCTCCTACATTTCAACATCTATAATTATTTTATAAATAAACAATAATCATAATGATTTGTCTTGTGGATCAAATCTATTAACATCAACTATCTATATTTCTCAATTTGAAATTAGTTTATATAAGCAAAACTGTAAATAAATTTATAGAAATTCATATAACATTCAACTTTATATTGTTGATTCTTCAAAAAAAAATTGACTTTCAAATATTTAATTCTCATTTAGGACCACTAATAAGATAAGTATCAAGAGATCCACAAACTTTATGTTTGATATTTTACAACTTCTTTAATTCTCAGCTCCTTTACACTTGTACTTAAGTTCATTTTTTCTGCTGTGTATTCTTTGACCATACTAAGAATTGCTGATAGTTGATAATTTTTTATGGCTTCTTGTTTGACTAAACTTCAGATAACTTGTGAATGTTTTAGTTTATTATTGTCTTCCAAAAAATGTACATAGTTAAGAAGTCACCGAAACACTTGACACATACTTTTTTTTCATAACAAACCTTGATACTTTAATTTTAACAAAATACAAGTTGGATAGGTGAATTTTTGCTTTTTGTCATTTGTTACTAGGAATTTCTTCTTTTCGGATACTAGATTAATTGTGTTTAGTAAAGTGGCAAGTATACATTTGTGATGAATCACCATTTGTTTTTTTTTAAATTAAATCCTTTTCAAATATTCAAAACTAATGGCCACAATTCATCATCAAATTTTTGCATTGATAACTCAAGTGGTTAGTTGATATTGAAAAGAAGAGTGCACTTTTGAGTAGGAGTTAATTCTTCAGAATTGGGTGAGTCAATATTTGTAGAAATAAGTGAATTTATTTTACTTGTATCTACTGTAGAAAGTGTAAAAAGTGATGGTCAATTGTTATTATTAAAAATTAGTGGTTTTTTTTTATTTGTGATATGGAATACAAGTTAACAAGAAAAAATTAAATAAAAAAAACATTTTTTTCTTTATTAAATAAAAATTACAAGTTAAACCACCATCCCACCATCTCACCATCCTCACTTTTCTATAGCAAACAGAAGAAACTATTCGTTTCGCTTATGTTTTTATTTATTTAAAAGAAGGGTGGGAATAAAAATTGCGTCGCACGCTGTTATAAGTCATCATCCGGATCCACATGCTGATCAATTAATCACGTGATAGAAAACGGCAACACTTTTTCATCAATTCTAAATAACATTGAGTGCCTTCTTTAATTTTTGGTCGAAGTTCGTTAAGAATTTCTAAAGTTTATTCTAGATTATATGCTCTATTAGAAATGGTATCTTTTCTGTTGATATTATTCACATAATAGTTCCAACACTATATATACAGTATCAGAAGCCCGAGAATATAAATTTTTATTCAATATCTCAGGTGCAATATACGGTAATACACCATATCTTCTAGATGAATTAATTTTTGTTTGCAGGTTTACAAAATACTAAATCTCCTAATCTTATGAGTTTTATGCTTCAGTAATCATTAGATTACCAAGATAAATAATATAATGAATACTGTATATCCTTTATCATGAATATCTGAATATCCCAACGGGGCGGAGTAGAATTCATGTGATTGATTTCGGAACAAACGTAAACGTGATCAGATCACATGTGATATCAAAAATTTTCTTTCTTATAATTTAATGAGCGCGCGAGAGTTTATTATTAAGTTTCTTGGACAATGACAATAATAATTATATAAAATGAATTATCGTGGTTTAAAATGCTGAAACGTATTTTTATAGGCTGAATGGTATGTATTTTAAATATTTTAGACATTTAAAATATTAATATTTTTTTTAAGAATCAATATTAATTTATTTTGACATTGACACATGGCAGAAAGTGTGGTGCAGTAAATTAAATATTATTGTGATTGTGAACATGGGTAAATAATTCATTATAAAATCAGATCTTTAATTAATTATATCAAATAAACTTTTCAATTAATTACCTCACGTTGTTCACCAATTTGGATTGATTTGATCCGCGTATATCCAAAATATAAGAAAAGGTAAGAAAACATTTTGTGACTATTTACAAGTTTCAATACTAACCTTCTTGGTCTGCACAGAGGAAATTGAATCTGGTTTTAAAACCTCACTGGAACGTTTATCGCCAGAAGAAACTTCCTCCTCTTCATAAGGTTTACGCAATTGCTTTCCATAATATTTGCCTGATACATCAAACGTTAGAAGGATTTCCTTATCATAGGTTCTTCGAACTTCACACTATTAAAGTAGTTTGTAAAGATTTCTTCAGAAAGAAAATGCGTGAATAAAATTAAAAAATTCTCTATAACAGCTTTACCTGTAATCTCACAATGATCATCTCTTGCCAAAAGGAATTCATATCTAAATTGATATGTTCCATTTTCACCTTGTTAAATATAGATAAAGTTTATAATTAGAATATATATTTCATCATTTTTGCTTTTGCTATCATAATGAATCAAACCAAAACAAAACAGCAACTCGCAATAGTGGGGCCAGAAAACTTATGATAATTCAAGACGTGTCTTGGACCGCCTAACACCATCACTCGGATCAGAAAGACTTGTGATACTCCAAGAACAGGTAACACGTGTTAAGGAGATTCCTGGTTGCCAAATTAAATATAAAAAAACCTTCCTTTCTATCCCGTTCAGCTTTTACAGCTAGCAAAGAGTCGATTTGTCCACGCACCGTCAAGGCCTTTCTCATCGTCCAAATCCAGCAATGGATTTAAGATAATGGTACGATTTTGGTTAAAAAATCTGCATACGACCATAATGCAGGTTGTGAATTTTTTAAATATTTTATGAGAGCTATTAAAAACAAATCATGATTAGTACTTCGAAACTTAACTTGTTTTTTAATTACTATGCTTACCTGTTCGACCAGGATACAATTCCTTTTCTTCATAGTAGAAACTGAAGTACTTTGTTGGACATGGTGCTTTTATAGGTTGTGCAAAGTATTAAGCAAACAAATTTAAATAGCGTGTTTGTTGTTTTAAGAGTGCTTAATCAGTAGAATTTAGTGTAATAATGAATAACTATTTTACATTTTATATTGAAATCATTCAATTGTTTTTTTATGAATAGAATAAAATTAATTTTATTTGTTAAATTGATAAATATTTATATATTTATACATAATCGAAATAATCTTTGTCGAATACAATCGGAATTTCCTAAAAACGGTTTTTGTATTACCTTTCATAAGTACTGTAATACTAAGAAACATTTATAATATTTCAATATTGTTCATTCCAATTATTCTCTTTTGAAAGCATCGTTTTCTCAACAATATATTTATTTTCCTTGTATTTTTGATCTTCTTGGTATGCGTAGACCTTTATGTATAATAATAAAATGGAAAAAATAATAAGTGTATAGCCTTTTTTTTTTTTGTTGTTGTTTAGTTTGGAGTCGTTGTATTTGTTACTTACGTATTTCCAACCGATAACCGATCTACAACTGACACAACTTATATCTTTGACTGTATGTACACCAGTAATTAATGTACGATCTTCATTTTTTCCCAGGATTACGTTTTCTCTTTTGCAAAATTGAATTTTAATTTGGTAGTAATAAATAAATAATGGATAATTTAATAAAATTCCAATAATTCATTTCTTGCCTGAAATATTTACATGGAATTAAATAAGAATGCTCTTCCTAATCGACCTTGAAATGCCTACAAGCAACAAATACAATATATAAATTAAAGTGCATAAATGTGCACAAAGAGTATAAATACAAATATAATATTTATTATATAATATAATATAATATTTCATTATATCATATTAAATAATATTATATTATTGTAGTATAATAATATTTATAATATATTATAAATACTTAATACTTTTGAAATCAACTCTTCGTGTTTGGCCAAATGTGTGTGACATTTAGAACAAGAATATATTCGATCATTATCTAAATATTTATAAAATGCTTTGTTTTGTTGTTTTTTTTGTTTCTTCGAAGATGATGACATGACATTAATAATGAAGAATAATTGAGAAAGAAATAAAAATAAAAATAACTTTTTTTAGAAAACCCAATATTTATCTATTTATCCCACATGACTATACTCTATTTTCCATATTCGTTTAGATCCTCTCGGAGTTTTCCATAGTGCAACTTATTTGACTCGATATGATATATCTCAAATTTATGATGGAAAAAATTCGAAATATCTTTCATCGAAAAATCTACTTTAATAATCTTTATAGTCTTTATAGTCTTTCGCGGAACTTTACAACGATGACTACTTTTGCTGATAAAGATTATAATAGTGCCGCATATAGTTCTTATCGTCCCAAGTAAATTTAATTTCATTAATAAATCAATATAAATATGCGATTAAAAGAAATTAATCCATTTTAAATATATTATTATCATTTTTTTTTTTTAAAAAATAAAAAAAGTTATTCCGAAAAACTTTTTAATAAAATTTATGATTATCACTCTAAAAACTCTGGAAATTATAATAATGCCTTAGATATTGCTACAGGAACTGGTCAAATTGCCAATATTCTATCATCTAAATTTTCTAATGTTTATGCTACTGATATCTCGGAAACTATGCTTTCTAATGCACTTCGTGCTTCAAATATTAATTACTCAATATCTACTGCAGAAGATCTTTCCCAATTTCCTTCTTCAAAATTTGATATGCTTACAGTTGGACAATCCGCACATTGGTTCAAACTTCAAGAATTTTTTGAAGCAGCAAATAGAGTATTAATTCCAAATGGTACTCTGGCTATTTTTGGTTACACTTTTCATGTGATTAAAGGTTATAATGAGATTTCGGAGATGTTGATAAAGTTTGGTACTGAAGAAGAGATTAGTAAATATTGGGATGAACGAAGAATTATTATAAATGATTTGTATAGATCATTTGTATTACCTGAACAGTTTAAGAATGTTGAAATAATTAGAAATGAAAAAATTAATGGTGGTGAAATTAGTGGTGAAATTTTTATGGAAGAATATTGGAGTATTGACCAAATGGCGAATTATATGAAGGTAAACTTTATTAATTATTTACTGGTTATTAATTATGATATTATAATTATTAATTATTATTTTTTTTTCCATTTATTACTTTATAATTTATTTATTTTAATTTATTCAATTTATTAATTATTACTTATTATTTAAAGACCTGGTCTTCTTATAAAGATTATATGGTCAAAAATAAAGACACGATTCAACAGGATCCAGTTGATAAATTAATGAATAAAATTAAACTAACAATAGGATTAAAACCTGGTCAGAAATTGCATATTATTTGGCCGATGGTTTTAATTTTGGCTACTAAAACGGGTTAAAGAACAGAAATTTCATTAATTTAATCAATTAGTTGTATCTGTCATTTGTTATATGTTATATAGGATATTCGTGATATTCATTATTTTTAAATTATTTAATTAATTTCATGTATTTATCTAATTAAATTTTATCATTCGAGATGTTTGAGATCTTTTTATCACATGATTAACGTCTCATTAACAGTTATGGAGAAAATTAGTGTAACAAAAATTAACAAAAAATTAATAAAAAAATTAATCATTGGTTCGCTTTTATGCTCCTTAATTAATATTTGTTATACTATATTGATATAATATTAGATAATAATGTGTTTGCAAATTTATTTTCTCGACTGGCAGTTTTTGTTTATTTTCTTTCTTTTCATCCTACATTATCGTGATTATATGTGATTATATTAATCACTTACCTTCATTTTATTCCTAAACATTCATTTTATTCTTAATCCTTCCCTTCAACCTACATTTTCACCTTATCATTCATTAAATTCTCTATTCTTTCATTACATTCATTACTTCATTACCGTTATTATTTTACCTCATTTTTCCCACTTTTCTTTCCCACCTTTCTTTCCCGCCTTTCTATCCTTCTTTCTTTTTCTCTCTCCATTATTTCATTATTTTCATTTCCTGAAATTATTCTCGAAATAATTATAACAATAGAATTGTTATTTATATTTTTATTTTAACATGTTTTATTTTTATTATTTTATAATAGAATAATTGATAGATAAATTTATTTTAATCCTTAAATAGACCATTAAGAATTTCGAAAGAAATAAGCACGAATTCAAATAATTAATTACATATAATTATAATATTTTCAGACATAGAATATATAGAAATATACATATATATATATATATAAATATACATAATGAATGAGGAGGGTAATAATACGGGATTTTTTTCACCATTATTTAGTGGTAATAAAAATAGACAATCAATGCAACCATTTTCAACGGTTTCAACGGTTTCATCAGCTGTTGAAACATCAGAAGAACGAGATAGTGCAAGATTTAATACTCGTTCTTCATCACCTATTTCAATGTATTCTAATAGACAATCATTTGATTCATATGTAGAAAATGAAAATGAAAATGAAAGGGATTATGATGATAAATATAAATATAATAGTAATAGTACATTTGTAAACGAAGAAGGAATAATTCATTCAAATTCAAATAATATAACGAAAGAACAAGATTTATATCATTCAAGTTCACTAAAAACCAATGATAATATTTATTCGGTAGAATTTTCACCCACTGATAATTATTTCAATAATAATAATCAAGCTCAATCCACTTCAATTTTTACAACGAATACTCCAATTATGAGTGTTGGTGGTGGTGGTGCTAATAATCTAATATATTCTAACATTAATAATTATAATCCTCCAGCCACACCATCAACAATTTTTTCCATTAATGATAGTAATGATAGTAATCATAATAGTGGAATGGACAATTATTCAATGAAAATGAATGATAAAACTTGTAATATAGAAATACGACCTGATATTAATATTAGAAATTATAATAGTGGTGGTGGTGATGATTTTTGGAAGAATTTATGGAAAATGGATTTTTTTAATAATAAAAAGCCTACCTTGAAATTTTGGTTAGCTTTAATTTTGATTATTGTTTTATTATTATTAATCGGTATTTATTATTTTATTATTATTTTATTATTATTTTTTTTAATTATTTTTTATTATTTTTTATTTTATTTTTATTATTTTTTTTTTCTCATTTTTTATTATTTTTTTTTTTTTGATATTTTTTATTTTTTTTGATATTTTTTATTTTTTTATTTAGTAATTCCAGCAGTTGTTGTCTCATCAAACAAATCATCAACATCATCTGATAATTCGTCGTCGACATCTAGTACAAGTACAAGTATGACTACCGCAGATTCATCTATGGTTCCCACTAGTTCTTATAAAGGTTCCATGACTCCTACTAGTTCTAATAAAGTTTCTACAAATTCTGCAGCTTCAACCGGCGTATCTTCCTCAGCTCCAAGTCTCACTGCTCCGATAACTACAAACACCGCCATACCCACAGCACCACTTACAGCCACAACTCCAACCATAGCTCCACTACCTACCACAACTCCAACCATAGCTCCACTACCTACCAATACACTACCACTTACGGATACCACAGAAGCTCCATTACCACTTACAGATACCACAGCAGCTCCACTACCACCTACGGATACTGCAGTAACTTCACCACCACTTACAGATACCATAACAGCTCCATTACCACTTACAGATACCACAGCAACTCCATTACTACCTACAGATACAATACTTTCTACAACTACGACCGTAGTCCCACCTGCAGTATAAGCTATTCCCAGACCCGAACTGTTGGTAAATTTGTATTTTTATTTTATTGATTTTTTTTTTTGATGAAAAAAATATTTATTTAATCAATAATATTTTAATAATATTTCTATTTTTAGTAAACTTGTACGTCAACTGATGGATCGTGTCCATATTGCTGTTACTGATACTGCTAAGGGTAATTATCTAAATTATTTATTTTTTTTAATAATAAAATCATTATAACATGATTTTATTAGTGAATGCAATGCGTTCGCTCGTACCTACTTAATAGAACAATTACATTGAGTAAAAAATAATAATTTAATGTATACAACACGCATTATCAGTAACCAAAAAAAAATCCATCGAAAAAAAAAAGTACAAATAGAAATATAAATTATTTTTTGTACATTCCATAATAATAATAATAATAATAATAATAACAACAACAACAAAAGCACAACATTAAATAACAATAATAATAATTATTATATAATTGACATATGAATAGTACAAGTACATAATAATTTCACCTCCTTGACTATTATATTAATTATATTACTAGAATAATTTCTTTATTTATTTAAATATTATATAACATAATAATGAATGTATTTGTATCTTTCTTTCTTAATTTCTTGTTAAATAAAGTGGGAAAAAAATTGAAAATATTTTAACGGTAATTTAATTATGATATTATTTATTTTATAATACATTTTGAATTATTTTATTTTATTTAACAATTGAATTTAAACTTAAAGAACTGAGTTTAAGTCACATATTTCACTAGTTTATCGTATCGTTCAATTTGTAGTTACATCTTCAAGAAATCTACATCGATTTCTCTCTTCCAACCTTTGAGTTAAAATTGGGAATTACTCAGAATTAATTATTTTGGGCGAACAATCATCTTACCACCGCAAAGATTTAGTTCAAGGTTTGCCTACACTAACAATATCATTACTTATAAACATTTCTTCTTGGGTAAATTATAAATCAAATATTCCGTATAAGCTTAAATTAAGGTTATGGATATATATTACTTCGTAAATGGTATAGTGCATTAATATATATATATATATATATACATATTACTGCGAAAGTTCCATACATGCAAATAATCAAAATCTATAATTTTTATAATAAATAATAACCAAACTTTTTTTTTTCTATCCACATTTTTACAAAATAATAATATACAATAATAATGAAATTTAAATTTTTTGTCAAATTATCCCAAAATTTTATTGAAATTCTTGACGATAAAGATGATTATAATGTAATAATTATAGTTAAAAATGGGATATCCTTTACAGCTCACTCTGGTATATTAAAACGTCGGGCACCTTATTTTCATAAACAATTGGAAAATATTATTCCGAATGAAAATAATATCAAAACAATTACTAAACCAAATATTTCTGATCAAATTTTTGATACGATTCTTAAGTAAGTTATTATTACTAATATAACATTTAATAACATTTAATAAGAATAAATACTGTTATTGAAAATAATTTCATAAATTAAACAAATAACCATTATTTATTAAACCTTTATTTATAAAGATATATTTATGGAGGGATTGTCAATTTAGAGAATGCTGAAATAAGATTTATTTTTGATTTAATGATGGCATCTAATGAATTTGAGCTTGACGAATTGGTCGAGGAATTAAAATCACTTCTAATGAAAACTAATAGTACTTGGTTAAAGTCTCATGTTTCTTTAGTTTATCATTCAGTTCTTAATAGAAAGAATTTCAAGGATTTAGAAAATTTTTGTAATAATGTTGCAACAACATTTCCATCACTAATTTTTGATTCTGAAGATTTCGTTTCTTTTCAAGAATCTGCATTGATTTCTCTCCTTGAAAGAGATGATTTAAGAATGGAAGAGATTAAAATTTGGGAATATACTATAAAATGGGGAATTGCTCAGAATTCCACCACTTTACCTGTAGATCTTAAAGAATGGACCAATGAAAATTTTAAAGCATTAAAAAATAGTTTGAAGAATTGTCTACCACTAATTCGATATTTTCATATTTCTAGTAATGACGTTTGGATAAAATTAAAACCTTATAAGAAAATTCTTGATAAGCAACTTTGGGAAGATTTGAAACAACATTTCTTGGCTCCTAATGAACCAATAAAGTCAACCATTTTATCACGAAGAGCAACACAAAAAATACCTTATTATGTTAAAGTTATTAAATTTATTATTCCGGGTAGTCCAATGTTATTAACCGGAATTGAAAATTATTTAAATTATTTCCCTTCAGTTTACATTTTGTATTTTTTTTGTTTTTCTGTTTCTTTTTGTCTTTTTTACGTAGTTAATTTAATGATTAAACATTAACAGTTAAATAATTAAATTAATAAAATTATAAGTTAGGGATAAAATTATACGTGACTTTTATATTATCACGTGTAATTTTAAAATGTATATCTATATAAATATGACAGAATTGATAGATGATCAAAGTTAAATAATTATCAAAGATCATCTTCGTTATTTGATTTTTTTGTTGAGTTTGAGGATGTCAAAGAAAAAGAGCAATACTTACTGGTTTATTTCTGGTATATTTTAAGAGTTTATAAAGTATTATAAAGTTATCATAAAGTATCATAAAGTATAACAACAGATAAAGTATTTATTTATAGAGTTATTATAGTTGAGACTAAAATATTAAAAATGTATTTTTTTTTTTTTTTTAGTTCCCGCCGAAGGAAAGAAAACAGTTGTACTTGAGAATTTGAAATCGAAACTTCCAGCTGATTTAGCAGAAGTTGATCAATTTATAATTCCAGAATTTAAGGTGAGTTGCTGACACGAATAATAATAATAATAATAATAATAATAATAATAATAATAATAACGTAATTTTTTATTTTTGGTAGATAGGCACACTTGATGCACTTGTAGTTATTTCAGATGAACTTGTTAAATATGATCAATACTTTGAATCAGCTGTCATGAGAATTGTGGATATTTTACGTAATTTGAAGGATGATATCAATAATAATCTGGTAGTTAATGATAGTAAGTTAATATTTTATATTTTATCAGTTATCATCATCGTATCGTATTTAATCACCGTATTAATCATCGTTATTAAATAGATTTCATCTTTATTAATTTCAGAAAGTGTTGATCAATATTTGAAAACTTTTCAATGGGACACGATGAAATTTCGTGCGGATAAATCAATGCAAGAAATAGCAGAAATTCTTAATCAGGTATAATAAATATAAAAAATAAATTAAATAAATAAATAATAATTAAATATTTAAATTATTTTTTTTTTTTTATTAATCTTGATTATTTTGTAATATCAGGAAGTGACGAGAATTGACAATACTATGAAATCAAAATTATCTAGTTATAATCAGGTGAAGGGAAATTTGCAAGCATTGGAACGAAAACAAACGTAAATATATTATTATTATATTTTTTATTTTATTTTATTATTATTATTTATAATTTTTATATTATTTTATTATTCTATTATTATTATCACATTTGTCTCATAAATTATTTCAGAGATTTCTATTATTGACTTTTATTATTATTATTATTATTATTATTATTTTATAATAGGGGAAATTTATCTGTTAGAAATATAGCAGATGTAGTTAAAAAAGAACATTTTGTTGTTGATTCTAGTTATTTGGAAACTTTACTTGTTGCAGTTCCAAAGTATGTTATTTAATTATTTATTAATTAATTAATTAATTATTTATTTATTTATTAATATTAATTATTTATTTATTTGTGAATTTTAGAAATCGTTATAAAGATTGGCTTAATAAATATGAAACGCTTGTTCAATTTGTCGTGCCGCGTTCATCTCAGTAAGTAATTATAAAACAATGAATAATAATAATAATAATAATAATAATTTATGATTATTATCTATTAATATTGAAAATTATTTGTTTATCTAGAAAAATAGCAGAAGATGAAGAATATGGATTATTCACGGTAACACTTTTTAAAAGAGTTTCTGAAGATTTTAGGCATAAATGTCGAGAAGAAAAGTAAAAAAATTTTTGTTTTTATATATATATATATATATATATGTATGTTGAAATGATAATGAATATTAAAGAATATTATTATTATTATTAGATTCGTTGTGAGAGAATTTCAATATAATGAAAATGAAATGGCTAATCAACGTAAAGAATTTGAAGAAGTTGGAGCTACTGAAAAGGAATTATATGTATGTGTTATAATTAATTAATTAATTAATATATATATATGTTCCATTGTTAACTGTTAAATTTCTATTTGTTAAATTTTCATTGCTTTAATTTGTTATAGAATTCGTTATTACGTTTGTCCAGTGCAAATTTTGGAGAAGTCTTTTCTGCTTGGATTCACCTTAAAGCATTAAGAGTTTATGTAGAATCTGTTTTACGTTATGGGTTACCACCAGATTTCATGTCAGCAATGATAAAACCTAAATATAAAATGGAGAAAAAAATAAGAGAGGTACTTATTGTTCAATACGGAAAACTTGGAGGAACATTAGGAAAAGATGCTTCAAAGGATATAATTGAAGAATATCATAATCTTGTTGACACTGATTATTATCCTTATGTGTGGTTTCAAATTAAATTTGATGTTTTTAAATGATAGATGTTTTTAGCAAATTTACTTGTAAAAAAAATTTTTTTGTATTTTTAATATATCCATCATTCTTATTTCTTCCCTCTCTCTTATTTCTCTCTTTCTCTCTTTCTCTCTCTATTTTTTCTCCTCTCTTATTCAACTTTGTTAGATTATGTAGTTGCATTACTTCATTCATATTATTATTTTATTATTATTTTATTATTATTTTATTATTATTATATCATCATTGTTTGTTATTCATTTATTTAATTTTAATAGATAAATAATTTATTTGTTTATTCATTTATTTACAATTATTAATTAAAAAAAAATGCTTATTGTTTGTATTAATTGTGTTAATGTTGTTGTTGGTTATTGTTGTTAATGCAAATTGTCTGTCAGATATTTGATTCTATTAATTTTATACTATATTTCTATTTTATCTTTTAAGACAACTTTATAAATAATTTAATTTAATTCATAAAAAGAGAAATAAATAATAAATTTCTACTTGATTATATTGTTTGTGTTTTTTTTTTTGTGGAAAGTTTTTATTTGTTGTTTTGATTCTATTTTTGATTGTTATTATCATAATTATTATATTTATTCCCGATGCATATATGAATCAATGGCTGCAGAGAATGCCGCAAATCCGGCACATCCAAATAAAGCAGCTTGGGGTCCGGCTTTTGCAGCTAATGCAGCGCCAGTAATACATCCAGCTGCTACCCCATTATATATATCATTTTTCGCTCGATACTATTTAATTATAATGGCATAATAATAATTTTTAAATTAATGATTTAAATTTAAATAAATAAATAAATAAATAATAAATAAATGAGAAAAGTAAAAAAATGTTACCCCTTCAATGACGCATTCGGTACCAGAAAATATTGCTCCCACAACCGCAAAATTTTTTGCCATAGAAAAAGAACGACGAGCCATATCTTGTGCTGTAGCCTTTAATTGTTTTTTCATTGGTTGATCATAAATTGTTGGATCAACGGAAGCCATTTCAAATGAAGACATGAACATTCCAAATAATCCTCCCAATACGAAACCTTTTGTTTTATTTATTTAAAACATATTTTCATATATTTTTTAGATATTTTAAATCAATTATATATATATATATGTATATATATGTATATGTATATATATATGTATATGTATATATATGTTTAAAAAAATTTTTTATTTTTACCTAATCTACTAGATCAAAGTTAAATATCATTTCTCTTACCACCTACACCAGACAATGCGACTTTAAAAGGACATGACTCTTGTATCATTTGCATATAAAGTATTTCTTTGGGAACGGGTTCTTTATTTGGGAATGTCATTATTATTATTATTATTATTATTACTATTATTATTGGAATTAATTTTTAATATTTTTAATATTAATATTATAATGTTGATATTAATGCTGATATTAAAAAAAAAAAAAAATTTTTTTTTTTTTTTTTTGATCATCAAATGTTAATCCCATTAATCTTATCTTATTAAATAAGTATTGGTGGCAATTACATCTTATGATCTTCGTAATCACACATTACATTGTGAATTCTATAAAAACACGCACGCGTAACTCACAATAAATTTAAAATTTTATTAGTCTAAATTCCGAAGTGGGGTGTTTTAATGATAATTCTGGAATGGGTAAAAAGTTTGACTCGGAGAAAACTCGGAACAAGTTTAAACTAAGATCTGAATTTGATTGAGTTTTTTTAACATATTTCTTATTATTATTAAAAAAAAATGAATTTTAATATTAAAAAATGAAAACAAACAATGAATTCATTGAATGAGCGGAAAAACTTTTACAATAATAATAAATTAAAAACACGTCAATACAATAATAATAATAATAATGATACATAAGGTGTATAAATTGTATAAATATGTAAGATAAATTGTAAGATAAATTGTTTAAATCTTTTTTTATTAAAGGTAAGATAACTTTAAATTTATCTCTCTTATATTGTTTTTAGATTAGTATTTTTTTTTTTCTTCATTGATGATTAAAAATAAAATAAAAAATAAATGACCGACAAAAATCAAGAATCTCTTTTCTTTAATTTACAATTTTTAATTAATCCTTTTGTCTTTTATGGTTTAGTTCTCTTTCTTTTTTCTACTTTTGTCACTTTTGTCACTTTTGTCATAAAGTTTCTTAAAACCTGATTTATTTATTTTGCATATTTAGATATTTTATGAATCTAGATTCTTATATTTTATCTATTTGAACTAACCACAAAACGTAAGCAAAAGGTAAGTAAACCCCAACGGGCTTAACGCAGATTTTTTCCGTTGTTGCTTTTTATATTTTATATTTCTCCCTTTAGATTTTTTATGTACTCAGGATTGACTCTGGAACTTTACAAATGTATCTGTAAATATATATATATATCTTTTGTGTATTCTGATTTTTATTAACATTAAAAAAAGAAATAAAAAATTTATATTATGATAGTATAAATCACGTGTACACATATTCAAACGCGTAGATCATGTGATTAAATTAATTAATCTAAATATTTTCGTGAGAAAGCATTGTACTTTATGAAGATAAGAAGAAATTTTTGAATAATTTTTTTTCGATCATATAAACTAAATAATCAACTTTTAAATAATATTTGATTTTTTTAAATATTAAATTTCATTTTTTTTTGTTATCGAGAGAGGAAGAGTAATATAAACGAAAGAAATGCAAGAAGCGTATGAAGTATATGAAGGGTAATAAGTGTAATAAGTATAAAATGACCAATATATTCGATCAAATAATTATCAATTTCATCAATTTTATCAATTTCATCTAACTTTATCTTGTTTACCTCCCAATTTAAAATCAAACAACAACAAAAAAAAACGAAAGAAAAATAATAATAATAACAATAATAATAACAATAAGATATCGGAGATAAAAATATCTTTATCGGCTTTTTTTGATAGATCGAATATGAGAACAAAAAAAAAAGATGAATATACAAAACCTTAATTATATAATCCATTTAATTTATTTTCTTTATTTTAATAACAAAATAATGACCAAATAATAATGTATGCAAGTATAAAAAAAATTCTAATATTACTTAATATACTTAATATATTATAAAATATAAAAAAGATTTTCGAATTTTTTAACAATTTTAAATTATTTAATGTAAAAAAAAAAAAAAAAATTGCCTAAAATCATTAAAATCACATTGTCACGGTTTTTCTTTGGAATTTTTATTATTATTGTATAGATATCCTCTTAAGTCAAAATTGAAGTATGACAATCATATTCATAATGCCACATTTCTTAAATTATTTATTTAAAATAACTTTAATTTTTTTTTTAAAAAAAAGGTGTCAAATAAATAAAATAAATAAATAATAACAATAATAATGATAATAATGGTGATAATAATAAATAAATAATGATGACAAATAATGATAAATAATGATAAATAATGATTATCGAGTGAATTCTCTTTAAAGAATAGATATTCGTTAAAATATTCGTGGTTCATAGATTAACATAAAATTGTTTAGTGGATTGTGAAAAATTACCAAGTGTAGGCACTTAAAAATATCTTTGGCTTTTCATCATAGTAAATTTCCATTCACAGATATTTAAGTCATTTTCACAATGGTAAAAAGAAAAATGTAGCCCATAGAAAAATAACAAACAAACATTTATTGTTTTTGTGGACTTGATGTTCTACATACAGAAACAATTATCGAATATTTCGATTTAAAATACCAAAGAGGAAATTTATTGATGTGAACAAGTTGCATTATTATAATTATTATAAAATTAACAAAAAAAAAAATAAAATAAAATAAAATAATTAATAATAAAAAATCAAAATTAATAATAATAAAAAGAAAATTAATAAAAAGATTGAAATCGAAAATTGTTTCAAGATTGTAATCTTAATATACACACAATATATACACGAAAAGGTAAAAATAAGATATCTAGAAAAAAAACGGAAAAGCAAAACATCTCGGTAGTGCAAAAATAATCTAGCATTTGTAACCTTGTCTCGCAAAAAAATTTCCGATTCTGTTGTACCCGTTTTTTTTTTGTAAATGTAACATTACTATTCTATTAATGGGTAAGAAGATTAGTTCACATGTCTTATGTTTATGAAAGATCTTTCTGAAACCAAAAAAAAAAAACAAAAGAAATCTTTAAGGATAAATTAAACATTCGATTTTTATACACTAAAATTTTTTACATACTAGATTTATTATGAACGATAACAGTCAGTTCAGTGTCCTTTTAGACTTTTTGATTTGAACGGGGCGTATAACTCAGTGCTTACTCAGCATAATGATAATAATAATAATAATAATAATAATAATAATAATAATAATAAACAATAATGTAAATCATTATGTAATATAATAATTAATTATTATATTAACAAATAATGATTGCGTCGGAAAAATAAATAATTTTTCAATAATTTTTTTTTTTTTTGTCAAAATAATATTTTTTTTATTTGTAACCAATTTCAATTGTTAAAAAAAAAAGACAAAATTTATCATTGAAGAAATAAAGATGGTTAGATAGGTATAAAATATATTATTAATGTGGCGAAATACCTATGCCTTATGTTGAGATGATAAATTACGAATTGGGTTGTCTTCATAAAAGGTTAATGAGATTAATCTCTTCCTTTATATCTTATATGATAATGTTTTAAGAGAACGCACATACCTTTTATTATAACCCTTTCTTACCACTTACGTCATACTACCTAATTGTTAGTAGTTAAAAAAAATATCGTATGTTTAAAATTTAAACTAAATTAGTTTAAATTATGTTTCTACATAGATACAATATAGCAGTAATCAGTATATATTTGTACATTTGTTAAATTATTGTTTATGTATATGCATATCATATCATATCATATCATAGTACGTATATATATATTATAGTTTATATTATGATTTATATTATGGTGTATATATAGTTTAATATTATAGTTTAATATAATTTATGTTATTGTTACAATCAAATAAAATCAAATAAATAAATAAATTAGGAAAATAATATGAAAAAAAAATCTTTTCTTTTTGCGTGATTTTTTTGAAGATAGAAATTGATTACTAAATGATTTTGTAAAATATGCTTTGTAATCAAAGACAAAAAAAAAAAAAAAAGAGATTTGAAATAAAATAAAAAATAAATTGAGATTTGTAAAATAATGAAATTTATGATTAATGAACGAAATTTAATTTGGTCATTATCATCATCATATTATTTCATTGAATGATTCCTTTCCCGTAATTTTAAAATTTTAAATTTTATGAACCGATTATTAATTATTTAATTATTATTATGAAATTTCTAATGAAGGTTCGATTGTATTGTTTTTTTACTACTTTTCTTTCATTCTAATAATGATAATTAAATGAAGAATTTAATTGGTGACAGAAAATTTATATAATTTAGAAATAATTAGAAATAATTTAGAAATAATTTAGAAATTTATTATATGACCAAATATTAAACGAACTCTACTTATTCTTTCTTCGTAACTATTCGTCCTTTTCATTGAATATAATGTAACAATGATGATTGTACAGGTATAAATAATAATGTAATTGAAATGCAATTTATAAAGTCTCGCATTTTTTTTTAGTACTTTCGGGTTACAAATGTAACAAGTGTTACATAAAAATTTTATTTTTTCTTTTTATAAATTTAGAGTTTTACAAATTTTTGACACAACACATAAATTAATTTAGAATTATTTGTTTTTTTTTTTCTCGTTCTTTTTCTCTCTTTCCGGAAACCTTACATTTATTAATATAATTTATTCACTGAACAATTATTTCTCCATTTATTCATTCATACAATCAACATTTAATCTCTAATCCATACTAAATTATATGCTTAAAAATATTTGCTAACTTGTTATATTTCCCATTATTGATTACATATTACATCTAAAGAAATTAATATAGAATTAATAAAGAATTAATAAATATTCAATAAAAAATTAATAAAGAATTAATAAAGGATCAATTAAAGCGTATATATATGCAAGAAGAAAGCATAATGCCAGTTGACCGAGAGCAGGGTCCAAACGATACAAGATCAGCTGCTGCTTTGAAAAATAACAATGACAAAAATGGAAATGACATAAATATTAATAATGACAATGAGAGTAATAACAATGAAGATTCCAAAAGTAGAAGCAGTTATAAAAATTCTAAACGGTCCTCTTCTTCTTCTTCTAATAATAATAATAATAATAATAAATCCAATAAATCCAATAAATCCTATAGAAATTCATCTATAATCGGAGCATCCAACATTAAAAGATCAGTGTCTACTAAAAAACCAATACCTATTAAATCATCCATTACGATACCCACCAAAGCATCCACGACAACGTCCACCAAAGCACTCACATCGACGACATCCACCAAAGCACTCACCAAAGCAACATCCATCAAAGCACCCACGCCAACATCCAAAGGATCTACAACAAAATCCACAGCCACAAAATCATCGTCTATCAAAAGAACATCAACCACCACAACCAATTTACGTAAAAAATCAATTAATAGAAATAATAATGATAATGGTGATAATAATAATAATAATGAAATGTCTACAAAATCTATGGAAAAATGTTCCAAAAATCAAAATAATAATCCCAAAAATCCAATTACAGCCACCATTTCAACGAAGATTACTAATAATAAAAAACCAATGACCATAATTATTCCAAATAAAAGGAAGTCAACAATTACTGTTTCAAATGATTGTTCAAATGATTGTTCAAGCAATAAAAGGAATTCAACAACAACAATAGCAATATCCAAAAAACCAATTTCTCCAATTCGGAAAAAGACTAATTCTTATCCGAAACTCAACGTCACTACAACACCGACAAAATTAGACATATCAAGATCCAATTCTTCAACGGGAATCATGTATGTATTTAATTTAAATTTTTAATTTATTATTCTTTATT